CTTTAGGAGAGGGAAAGAGGGACAAAGAGAGAGAGAGAGAGAGAGAGAGAGAGAGAGAGAGAGAGAAAGACCGAGCAAGGAAGGAAGAAAGGAAGACATTGACCGAACGAGCGAGCAACCGCGCGACGCGACTCCTTCGCTGTGCCAGGCCAGCTGGAAGAAGGAGCCTCGTCGAAGCTCGATTTCTTTCTTTCTTTCTGTCTTTCCATCTCTCTATTTCTCTCTTTTTCTTTTACTCTCTTACATGCACGGGCGCGTTCACTTTGCGCGTCCTACCACTTTTATCTTCTTATTCCAGCAGCTAACTTACGTCTGTCCCTCATTTTATCACTCCTTCTCCAAATCATTTCTCTTTCTCTCTCTTTCTCCCCCTTTCCGTTTCTCGTTCATTCGCACGCCGCAAAATGCGTTATATTTTTTTCCTCTCTTTCTCTCCTTTTTTTACTTTCTCTCCCTCTCCTCTTCGCCCCGCGCTTACATCCAACGTATCCCCACCAAGCGCGTTTTTCCTTTACTCGGGGCTCCTACTTCTCTTCCTCTCTTCTTTCTACCCTCTTTCCCTCCTCTCCATCCCTCTCGCTCGCTCTCTCTTTTTCTCCCCATCTCTATCTCCTCGTATTACGGGCGTATACCGAAGAAGCAAAGAGGGGAAAAAAGCACTAGGATCTCGGTCGGCGTAAAAAAGCAGCAGCCAGCAGCAGCAGCAGCACCGCCAGCCAGCCAGCCAGCCAGCAAGCAGCCAGCACCGACCGCCAGCCACACAGCACCGCTCGTGAAAGCCACGCTCCTCCACCTGCGCACGTGTGCCAACCGCGAAACGAAACCCCCTAGGACGTGTTCCGCGCGCTCGAATAACGCGCTCCGGTTGCGAGACGCGAATTAATTGAATAAACCTCCGCCGCTCCGCGAAGGTTCCCCTCTAGGAAAAAAGTGCTCTCGTCGAGAGAGTGCGTCGTCGTAGTTTTGCTCGGGTTCTCCCTTCTCCTCCTCCTTCTTTCTATCATCCTTCTCTCTCTCTCTCTTTTGCTCGCTCGTTCATTCGTCCGTCCGTTCGTTCGTTGCTCGTTCGTTCGTTCTTTCTTTCTTTCTTTCTTTCTTTCTTTCTTTCCTTCTTTCCTTCTTTCTTGCCTTCCTTCTACGATCGTCTTCTTGTGTCGACTGAGGAAACTGGTTGGTTTACCTCGCGTCGTCCTCTTATCGCGAGTATCCTCTTTAGGATTATACCTTTCTTCTTCTTGTTATTTGGTAATGCAACTTCGTCGGTATATTTATTAACCTCTTCCACTCGTATCCAGAAATGGGGGCGCAATATTTGAATTCACTATTATCATTTTATAATTGTTTTATTACGTTTTGTTTTATCAGATACGTCGGCATCTTCTTGTTATTGTTTGTTTGTCGGTTAATAAGTAAAATTTCTTTCTCTTAATAAAGTAAGAGAAAATCTAATTTAATGTTTGGGAAGAAAGATGTATATATATATATATATATATATATATATATATATATATCATACGATTTTACATACAATTGAAAAAAAAAAGAATGCAAAACTTTTGCATGGTTGATCATAAAAAAACCATTACATTAGATCCTATGCTCATCGAATTTTTCTTCTTTTCTTTTTCTACTTTGAATAGAAAGAAACAAGTGGTAGCATGTAGATAAAAAAAAAAATAAAAGAAAAAAAGAAAAGAAAGAAAAAAAATACTTATCATAAAACATTAAATCTCCTGTTCATTTAAATACCATTGCTTATTTTCTTTTTTAGATAAAAGGAAACAAGTAACATGTAGAACAGATAAAGAAAAAAAGAAAGAAAGAAAAAAAAAGAACTTTTTTATACCATATACATCTAATTCATCTGAATTTTTTCTTTTCTTGAATAACAAGAAACAAATGGTAGCATGTAGTAGTAAAAGAAGAAGAAAAAGAAGAAGAAAAAAAATGCTTATCATAAAACATACTAGTGTAGTAGATACTGTTCATTTTCTTTTTTCTTTTCTTTCTTTTTGTTCGTTTCCTAGATAGAAAGAAACGAGTAATAACATATAGGGAGAAAAAAAAACTCATTGCTTGGCATCTAATAACATTCATTTAAATATTACCGTTTTGTCTCTTTTTGTTTTCCTTTTTCTTTTTCTTTTTCTTTTTTTTTTTTTTGTTTTTTTTAAAGATAGAAAAGAACAAATATCGTATGTAGAAAAATCATTTGTCGCAATTAGAATGAAAAATTGAAAAAAAAAGTGCTAACAATAATAATAATATTTAACAACAACAATGACCATAATAATAATAATTATTATTATTATTATTATTATTATATTGAAAAAAGAGGTAATCGAAAAAGGACCGATGTAAATGAAAAAATAATTGTAAAAGTACCGACTTTTAGTAAGAAGTAGAAAAAGATGAATATTTGCTGCCCGTATGTACTCGAAGGCGCAAAGTTCCTCTCGATATGGTACGGGTGAAGGAAGGTCGTCCTCGTACAACACGCGGACGTTCCACCGGGCTGCCGGCGCTCCGTGCTTCGGCTAGCCGGCTACTAAACTCGTCCGTACACTGTTGCCACATTTCCTGCCAACTACTCGTTTCACGTTGACACGATCCGGACTTCTAATCATCAGGCGTTCGTTCGTGTTCGTTCGCTTACTCGTTCGTTCGTTCGTTCGTTCCTTCGTTCCTTCGTTCGTTCCTTCGTTCGTTCCTTCGTTCCCTTGTGCGACATGTTGACGTTCGCGACAAATCGTTCCGCGTGTCTTAATATACGCGCGTTATGTCATCGCGTTATGTATGTAAGTTAAAGCAAATGTCCGTGCCGCTTGAACACGATCCTCGATAATTTATCGTAGTAAACGACTTTTGACGAAAGTAATATTGCGTCCAATCATTTCCACCAAAAAAAAAAAAAGAAAAAAAATATTAATCGATTTCATTGCTTCCGTTTAATAAGAAACTACTGCTATAGTCGTCAATGATCTATTTAATGGTAATTGAAATACACATAGATATTTCAAAACTGTCGTGGTAAATAATTTTTATGGAATAGAGTTGGCCAACTATTGAGAGAGAAAAAAAAGTATATATATATATATACATCAATCGATTTTATTGGCCCGTTTAAAACGGAATTACACCTATAGTCAATGATCTATCCAATAGTAATTAAATTCAAACATATTTCAAAACTATCGTTAGTAAATGACTTTTGAGGAATGAAGTGTGTCAACTATTGAGTGAAAAAGAGAGAGAGAGAGAGAGAGAGAGAGAGAGAGAGAAAAAAAGTCAATCGATTTCATTGGTTCGTTTAAGAAATAATTTACTGCTATGGTCAATGATGTATCAAATATTAAACGTTATCGATCTATTTAAATTCAAAACTATCGCAGTAAACGATGAAATAGAAGAAATTTGAGAAAAAAAATGAATCAATTTCAATTTAAAAAGTAACTATTTTTATGGTCGAAAGAATATCTTCAGTAAAGAAAAAAAAAAAAAAAAAAAAAAAAGAAAAAAAATATCAAAATATCAAAGAACATATCCAATAATAAATATTACGATCCTATTAAATTCATACGATTACAAAATTGAATTATACATTTCATTGGTTCGTATAAAAAAATAATAATAAAAAAAAATAAATAAATAAAAGAGCACGTCAAAGCTACTGCTATAACCAAAAAAGAAAGAAAAAAAAAAGAAGAAGGAAAAGAAAGAAAGAGAAAAAAAAGTGTCTAATAGAAAAAAATGAAAGATATATTTGTATGAAAATAAATAGGGCGAATTAAATTAATACAATTTCAAAATTGAGAACATACTTTAGTAGTGCCGTATGACGTATTAACATGTCATTGGTCGGCCTCGTATAGTTCTCGCCTGGCGTATTAATACGTCATTGGGTCAGTGAGATATATTGTTCTCTGACGTATCAATGTTATCATTGGTCGTTGACATAGGATCATATCATGAGCTGTTAACGTATGAAAATATTGAAGTAAATATAATAAATATAAATGAAATGAAAATAATAATAATAATAATAATAATAAATGATAACAAAAACAATAACACCAACAATAATAATAATAATAATAGTAATAAAAATAAAAACAATGTTATCGTAAAAGTTAAAAGAGAATAAGAAAAATACGTACGTTCATTGTATTATCATCGCACGCAATTTCATTGAGGAAAATAACGACGCGAGCTCGAGAGTATGGGGTTAAGAGGGAGAGTAAAAGAAGTGGACATGCATTAGCCGCACGTGGTAAATTTAACGCGGCTCGGTGAATATTTTGTTAGTACGACGAAAGAATTTATGTATACATATACATATACATATACATACATATACGTACGTGTATGTATATAGATACTGTAGGACGGAAATAAAATAAATGTCTCGTGCAAATGGCCGATAGGGACTGACTACTGGCTTTAAATTTGACAGAAATGTATCATTGTCTCTTTCTCATACTGTCTCTCGTACATATATTCTCTTTCTCTCTTGAGGAAACAAAGAGAGAAAGAGAGAGAGAGAGAAAGAGAGAAAGAGAGAAAAATTCTTCGTACTCGTTCGAATTCTCTGCTCAGGACAATAACAGCCAACGACGTCGGTACAACGACCATCTGTTTGACGAAAATTTCGGCCTCTTGCCAGTGCCAAATTGACGTGGCGAGCATGAAACGACATGCTGGCTGTAGTCCAAAAATTATCCAAAAGTAAACACCTATCATGACAGTATTGTTTATATTCAAAATTATGAACGCCAGCGCCATTTTATTTTCTCTCTCACCCTCTCTCTTTTGCGTTTTTTTTTGCATTTCTCTCTCCCCCGCCCCCTCGCACAAAATCAACCCCCCGTCCATATTACATTCTCTCCTTGACGAACGAGAGAGAGATAATGGCTAACGATAAAAAAAAAAAAAAAAAAAAAAAAAAAAAAAAAAAAAAAAAAAAAAAAAAGAAAAAAAAAAATTTTTTTAAATTCGACAATTCTTCCTTTTAATATTTTCCTTTCGTCGATTTCCTTTTGCCAATAATTTCTTCTTCTTTTCTTTCCTTTTGTAATTTTAATAATAATAATATAACATGTGATACTTAGGATGATACTTCTAGCGAGTAAATACATGGATATGGATTCGTGAACATTTAACGCGATGCAAAAAAAAAAAAAAAAAGAGTAAAGAAAAAAAAAAAGATAAAAGAAAAAGAAAAAAGAAACATTGTACTTACAAAGAGTACGCAACAAGCTAGAAACGAGCAGAGTTAGAGTTAGAGAGAGAAAGAGAGAGAGAGAGAGAGCTTTGCCTGCTTCGTTCGCCGTTTTAAAAGGGCTATAAAGCATTTACCCTGGCGAAGACAAAAAGAAAAACGGAAGAAGAGAGGAAAGGAAAGGTAAAACGAAAAATAAGGAGGATGTCTGCTGTAGACCGAGAGTCGAGAGAGAGAGAGAGAGAGAGAGAGAGAGAGAGAGAGAGAGAGAGAGAGAGAGAGAGAGAGAGAGAGAGAGAGAGAGAGAGAAAGAAAGAAAGAGAAAGAAAGAGATGGTTGGACCAGGGTCGGGGATGAATAGTAGTAGTAGTAGTAGTAGTAGTAGTAGTAGTAGTAGTAATAGTAGTAGTACAGTAGTAGTACTAGTAATAGTGTTAGCGATGGTGGCGGTGGTGGTTGGTGGTGGTGAGAGGAACGAGGTTGAAATAAACCGGTGGCAGTAAAAATATTTACTGTGGTGTAAATACAGCGATAAAAGTGGTCTCTACAAGTCAGAGAAGGGGACTTATTTTCAGAGGTGAAAATCTTTCGAGAGACGCGATTTTACATAGGGGGGCAAAGCCGTGTAATTTTCTTACGCTTTGGCAAATGTAACGTGTTTTCGACGTTAGCCATCTTTACGTAGCTTTCCGCGTATACACACAATTGTATCTGTCTTTGCGTGTGTGTATATATATATATATATATATATCTATATAAAATTGAGATGATTTGAAAATAAACATAGTAAGGTCATTATCTTTGCCCGTAACAAATTTCGAATGTTTACTGCGGCTTATACTATACTTTGCTCCCTCTCTCATCCCCTTGACCAGTATCCCCCTATAATCCCTTAACTTCCCATCCCGATCATCCCCATCTATTCTAATCCTATTCTACCTTATTTTCCATCTTACCGGCCAATAACCGTAATTTCCGCGAAAAAAATAATCACGTTTTGTGCGCAGGTCAGGTACAACACGTCATAAAGAAGAACCTTGAAAAATAAAATTTAACACGGAGAGAGAAATATGCGAGCAAAGTTTGAAGGGGGAAATAAAAAAAAAAAAAAGAAAAAATAAAAGAACAAAAAAAAAGAAGAAGCAGAAAAGAAAGCAGAAGAAGAAGAAGAAGAAGAAGAAGAAGAAGAAGAAGAAGAAGAGGGGAGGGCGGGGAAGACGGGGAAGATAAAAAAGAAAATAAACTAGTTATAAATTGTTTCCTACAATATTTCGTATCCAAACAGTTAAAAGACCATAGAAGCTCTCATCTTTACTACGTCCGTGGTATGGTCTGGATTGTATGGATCTTTCTTTTTTATTTTTTTTTTTATTTTTTTTTTTTGTGACTTTTAACAAACGATCATAAATAATTTGAAATTTCTATTAAAATAGAATCGATCGATTTTGAATGCATCGATGCTGGAATTATATGTCGCACGTGTATCATTCCAATATGGACTAATCTATTTTATGCAATCACCAACTGCTGCCTGTTAATTTATTGTTAAACGTGACACTGACCTTGCATTTTTCATTCACAATTTGATCATTAAACAATTATCGTATACTAAGAATATAGGGTGTGATTGTGTGAAACTGTATACTCATATTAATGAGCGAAAAAGAGAGAGAGAGAGAGAGAGAGAGAGAGAGAAAGAGAAAGTGCGTGTGTGTATGTGTGTATCAAAGAGAATGAGATTGAAAAGTTTATCTCAGAGATATCGACGAATGATATATCGTATTATATACACTAACGGGGCAGATACGAAGCTCATTTTCCTACGATAACACTCGAGAATACGATCGAGCCATTTCCTGACGATAAGTGCACGTTCCTTTTTTCACTGATTCTATTTAAGGGCTTATGTGTTGAAGGGAATGGTTTGTTCCCCCCCTCCCTCACCGCTACTCTTACATCCATTCACCTATCCACCCACTCACCGCTCACTCAACTACACGTACAATAGTTTTCTCATCCAGTAATAAATATGTATGCATGTATACATCTACGTAGTATGTATATATCTATGTATGTATGCATGTATATATTTATGTGTTTACACATAAGATACCATTGATACGATATGATATGATATGATATGAATACTATCAAAAATGCTTGGATAAGCTATTACTTGTGCCAAGAAATTTTTGGCCTTTGTTATTTTCATCTAAATTTTCATCTGTGTGTGTGTGTCTGTGTGTTGTGTGCATATGTGTTATCTCAATTACAATGATAGACTCGCGAAAAGAAAAGGGAAGGAAAAAAAGGAAAAAAAAGAAGAAGAAGAAGAGAAGTAAAGAAACGCGTTTTCTGGCAATTATCCATAAATTGTCTGGATGTTAAAACTTTAGTATATTACAAAAGGTTGTAATAATGAAGTTGAGTTTGTCAGGAAGAAATTAGAAGGATGATATCTGATTAAAATCAATCAGGGAAAGAAAAGTGTATACTTGAAATTTTATCTATCCATCATAATGCTTCATGGATATATAGAATTGAATATTTTCTTTTCTTTTTCTTTTCTTTTTTTTTTTCTTCTTCTTCCTCTTCTTTTCCTTTCTCTTTTACTAAAGCACGAAAGATTCTTTCCAATAAAATCCGTTCTCTAAGGATATATCAACGAGTTTCAATCATATTTTTCAAATACACTCGAACGATCATTGAAGAAGAAAATCGCGTAACTAATATCTTATCTTTGTCTCAGATTTATTTCTATATAGATCAAAAATAACAACAACAACAACAACAACAACAATAACAACAACAATAAAGACGACGACAATAATAACAATAACAATAACAACGACGTAGTCGTATAAAAGAGTGCTTCGAAAGGAAGGAGAATGAAATTCGACTCTGATAAAATGTATATAAATATATATATATGTTTTTCCTCTGTATAGGTGTGTGTGTGTGTGTGTGTGTACGTGTGTGTGTACGTGTGGTAGAACACGTAGATTTGCTTCCTCTGACTTCGTCAGAAAGTCGTTCAATCTTCCAAAGCTGGTTTCTGTATACTCTAGGAAAAAGATCGATCAAGCGAATTTAGAGAGAAAAAGAGAGAAGACAGGAAAGAAAGAAAAAGAAAGAAAGAGAGAAAGAAAGAGAGAGAGAGAGAGAGAGAAGATATCCCACTTCGTATACTTAAAGTATTATCTTTTCATGAAAGCTCAAACCATACGTACGTACGTATCAACACATAGATGGATAGAGTAAAGTATAGCAAGTAGAAGTAGAAGTAGAAGTAGAAGTAGGATAGGTAGATATACGTGTTCTAGATTTATGTTCTCTCTTGAAATTTTAATAACGTATCCGAACGAAAATTTTATTCAAATACTTAACGTGATACCTTTCAACAATAATATGATAGTATAGAGAGGATTTTTATATAGGAAAATTTGTAATCGGTTATGAAATTGAATTGTTTCGATAATATTTCGAAGGAAAATGAGAAAATGAGAAAGAGAGAGAGAAAGAGAAGAGACAGAGAGAGAGAGAGAGAGAGAGAGAGAGAGAGAGAGAGAGAGAGAGAGGGAGAGAGAGAGAGAGAGAGAGAGACTAATAAATATGCAGATATTTTATACCCACCCGCTTATCGGACACGCGTTACACACAAACTCTATTATTATTACATACAACGAAATAAACACGCATACATTCGAAATATTACAATCGATTATGCAGCGCGATATTTATCCTCGATATAATGTAATCCAATTTTTACGTGTATTTACAAAAAAAGAAATGATAATAATAAGAATAATAATAATAATAATAATAATAATAATAATAATAATAATAAATAAAGAATAAAAAAGAAAGACAAAAGTAAAACAAAAATATTATGTGACTTGAAACTCATCCGATTACTTTATATACATATTTTTTCTTTCTACTATTCCCATAATACTGTTTAATTAAATATAATAGTATACTAGTTATACCATAACTAGAGTGTACTGTAATTAGATATAGATAGGTGTATCAAGTTATGTTTTTTGCGTATAGAGTATAATATACTAATTATATTATAAATACATTATATCATTAATGTAGTATAGTAATACATCATACTACTATAGCTATACCACATTATAGAATAAATACAATATACCGTAACTTCACGTATAGTATATACTATACTATTTATAACTATATAATACTATAGTAATATATTAGTTATAACTATAGTATACTTTTACTGCATGTAATGATATACTAGTTACTACATAACTATAATATACTATAACTACATATATAATATATAATATATATATATATATATATATATATATAGTTATATTATAATCACAGGATACTCTGAGACTATAATTATACACACACACACACACACACACACACACACACACACACACACACACACACATACATACATAAAACTAATAAGTAGTAAAGTAATATTAACTCATAATCTCTTGGGAGAAAAAAAAAAAAAAAAAAAGAAAAGAAAAGAGAGAAAGAAAAAATAACTTTCAACACAAACATACGAATAAGTTTTACGATAGTAACAATGTAATACCTATATTCCATATTAATTTTCAAGTAACATGACATTTATATTGGGGGAGTTAATAATCTCACCACATGTCGACGATCTTTTCTTAACTCGACAAAAGAGTCAACGACGACGAACTCTCTTAAATAGTCTCTCTCTCTCTCTCTCTCTCTCTCTCTCTCTCTCTCTCTCTCTCTCTCTCTCTCTTTCTCTCTCTCTTT